TTGTGTGTGAGTTTGGCTTATGGATAAGCTTTCTGGAAACAGAATGATTGGGTGGTCCTTTACCTGTAGGTGTAGAGGCATGACTGTATTGAGCAAGCAAATGGAACTGATTCTTTGTCGTGTGTGGATCCAGGTGGAAATAAACTGATTGCAGCACCATATTCTGTTAGCGTTCATGCTTCTTTTTGGCCCAACAGCTTCCATCCTGGATCTTTCTGTGTATGAATTCTTCACAGTATCATCTGTCTTGCTATTAAGTCACTGGCATTGATCTCTCTGGCAAAGGAAAAAATGAAACTTCCAGTATCAATGGTGTCTAATTCTGACATCAGAAATTACTCCTAGTGACTTAATTGATATCGGGCCACTCCTTTATATGTCTTCAAAAGTGAATGGTCAGTTATAATAAAGTCATACTCTCTAAAAACAACTAGCTGAACTGGAAGATGAATGTTACCGTCTATTGAAAAGTTTGCATATGACCTTCATCTGGCAGGAATAAATGACTGAGTGGTGGGGTTTTGGGTGGAAAATATTGAGCCGTAAATGGATGTTGAAAAAATTCTAATACCTGTATTTTAAAAATGCGTACAAGTTCTATTTTCCATTAAGAACAGCCTCTTTTCTTCTTCAAGGAAAATACCAAGCCACGATCTCTTAATGAAGTTGTTTTCATCTGTTTTCTAAAGACCATTTCTGTACTTCTTTTCCTTTCCTCCACTACGTCCTGTCACGAAAGAGATCATACAGATGTGGCAGAAGTTGTACTTCAATTACACTAATATGGCTTGCAGATCTTCTGCGTGTTTCTTTGCTTTCATCCAACCTCTGTTGGGATTGTCATACTCAAGCTCCGCCTCACTATACCTGTGCATTGCACTACTTAGTAGTTATCTAGCTGAACACAACGAACATGCAGACCATGGATCTGAATAATCCCCTGTTCCACTCAAACCTTTGCTTGCCAAGGGAACAGGTCCGGAGAAGAGCCCAGAAACAAAAAAAGATACGGTTCAGCCGGCCCACTGGGGACTATGGCTGGAATATAACAAGGGGAGATCCTGCTTGACAGTTGACGCCCCTGAAGAGATCCTGATGCAGAGCAGGAAATACTACATGCATTTAATACATAGGATTTAATGTTTAAACTCAAGTTGAAGGGATTTTTTTTAAATGTCTGAAAAAGATCTCAGTAAGGTTTGATAGGGATACTTTCTTTTTGTACATGACACCCAATTTCAAAGTTGTTCTCCATTGCAAAGGACAATGAATATAAAATATTTTGAAAAGCTCAGATCAAACAAAAATAAACAAGTCAATTTTCTGTAATTTACATTACTTGACAAAAACATCAAAATATTATAAAACAAATACTGCAACATAGCATGACTTTTAATTTGTTTTCTGCTTAATTTTTGTGAAATATTACTGCCTTGAATTTGGTAATTTGGCATTGAAAAAAATGTTTTGTCGGATAATTGCCCGTAAGATGTGTTCTTAGCCCTGCTTCAGATCTTCAGTTAAGTCCAAAACTGCAAACTATCTGGCCTCACTATCTGCTCCACTGAGTTCTGTTTGTTCTGTGTAGCTGTTATTTTGGGTAGATGTTCATCTTTACAGTGTTCTCACAATCCTGCGACTTAAATGTTCTGGAAGACTTGAATTTAGCTTCCAATGTTTTATGTAATTGATTTAATTTTTGAAAGATTAATGGGATCAGCCTTTGAACCTTTATCTATGTGCTTTCTTAATTATTTCTTATTTAAAAACGAGAATTTGTCTTGCAGAAACCATTTTACAATTGCTTGTGTGATTCAAGCTTCTCTTTCTCTTTATTCAGTGTCACATTCTAGTGTCGTCGTTCCCTCTCTGATAAGTGGTGCAGATAACTTTTTTTTTTTTTTGTATCAACAGATACATAAAGGTGACCTGTCTACAGGTATTCTATTACCAGTTGTAGAGAGCTTACTATACAAAATCAGAGAGATCGAAGCTTTAATGACTGAACTATCTATGGGAGATCTTGTGGACGAGAGTATTTACCTGTTCTAATATTTTTGTTCTCCTGGGGAGGTAAAAGTTCACTTTTACCAAGTCTGATGTGCTGGCTTTACCACTGTCAGAATAATCTCAATTAATATCTTGATTTGTAAATCAGACTTTAAATCCAGAAGAAAATGCAGCTTTTAAAAGTCTGTCTTCTGGGGTTTATTTTATGACCAGCATATCTGGTGAGCCACTGTCCAAAACAATTATAGAGAAATGGTTGTCTTTGTGCACTTCTCATTGTTATTCACCAACAGGATAGTCATCAGAGGGTCACATTAAAGTTCATTCAATCAAAGCTGTGGCAGTAGCAGTAGTCTGCCTCAGGTCAGTTCCATCTCTTGAGATTTGTAGGGCACTACCTGAAGTTATTTGCGTAATTTTATGTAGCATTAGTGCCTTGATACTTTGTAGCAAAGATTTCAAAGGCAACAGATCAGTATCTAGTGTTCTACCCCAATGACAATCCCATTATATTTCCACTTACTGTGTTATTGTTACCAGTTGTATGTATCCTGTGGTATCTTCTGTGTTCATTTTCACTTAGCTGTAATCTATATGTAAAGTGTGTTGTTATATTTACATTAGTGGTTATAATTAGGTTTTGTATTTCTCTGTTCATGTGGTTATTTGCTTATGTACTTTTAATCATCATGGGAACCTCTGCCTTTTACTTTTGAGATAATTGTTAAAAGTGCTCCCTTGTGCTGCAGTAGATGTTGAAGTTGGGATAAGATAAATCACAGCCAAGAAATACCTGCTTTTCTTCATTGAGAGCAAAGGGACCCTAGGTAACACCTATCCATATCTAAACTGGTTAGTTTGGGTGAATCCTAACTATATCTTGACGTTTTTATGTATACATGTGTATAGATAGGCTTGCATATATATATATATGCATATGTGTATGCACATACACAGATGGACAGATATATGTATATTAAGCCCAAACCAGTTCTGTTACTTGCATTCCAGTATCATTTGCAGAGATGTTTATGAGGCTATTGTACCAAAATAGTCTTAATTTCTAATGTATGAATAAGTTTTATATGATGTATGCTCCTGGATATTTTGAACAAGAGGTACCTGAGAGGTGCTTTTTCAGCCTTGAGGGGGAACAAAAGGAATGAAAATTCACAGCCATGAAGAATGTTCTGATTAGGAATACATCAAGTCTATATATGATAATTATTCCTCTCAAAGCCACATTTCTAAACTTAAGCTGATGTTTTGTTATGAAACCTTAGATACAAATGGTGAGATGATAATCTAGATGTAATTTTAGATGTTATTTCTCTTGTGTGGTTAATGATGCATTCAAAGTACTTTTTTGAGTAATTGCTGTTTGTCGTGTAGATGATAGAATTTACAGTCGAGAAATTTAGTCCTTTTTGAAAGTTCAATTTTCCGCATTTCCTCCTGCAGATAACAAAAGAGAGTTTAACTGCATCCTTTGATTAAAGTGTCTTGATTTGGTATCATAGTTTTAAAACACTTAGAAAAGATCTGGACTTTGAGTGGGACCTTGCCTATATTGAAATCAGTTTGTTTTCCCCCAGTTGACTTCTGTGTGGTGCTCCATACCAAGGAGTAAGAGGGGGGGGGTTTCTTTCTTTTTTCCCTATTCTCTCTTTGAGCAAAGCTTACAAATTGCAGAATTCCTGAAAGCAAAGCAATTCGGTTCACACATCTGGCTTAACCAAACAGTCTCTTGCCTGCCGCAAGACTTACCGTTCTTAACTCCTTCTTTACCTAACTACATGAAAATTATTTCAAGAACTGACTCTTTGGCTTACCTTCATGTAACAGCCACAAACACAGTAAGCAGCCAACCAAAACTGCAATGGAATTTTGGCTAATTATTTCCATTCACATCTGACATGAGCAGAGTTTAGAAAGAAATTCATTTAGTTTAGCTGGAAATAAATTTAACTGTGAAATGTGTAGGTTCATGCTGTACTTTCCTATCTCATTGATTCTTCAGCATCATGTAGGGAATATATATTCCAAATCCCCCTTAGGGAGAAGCAGTACGATAAGAGTTGTCAGGTAAGTTTTAGATCTCTGCTCCAAATTAATACAGTTTTGGAATAATCCAAAGAGGGGGTTTTTTGTGCATTTTTTTTTAAAGGTGCTTTTTAATTCCGTAGAAGCTCTCATTCTGTAATTTTTGGGAATTGCAGTGTTTGTTATCAATTTTAGGGATAGTGTGTGTTCATTTAGCTGTCTGAGATGATAAGGGGTGGGAGCTAAATCTGGTTTCTTTTCTTCAGATCATAAAGGAGATCTGTGACTTTGAGTCTCCCCTGCTTTCCACATTTGTTCTGAGAGCAATACCTTGGTGAACTGTCTTTTTTTTGGGGCAAGGTGTAAAATTTCAGTTGGCCCTTTTTTTCTAAGAGCGATAAGGTACTAAAAATGGGAGTGTACATGAAAACTCAAAGCCTTTCTTATTAGTCCTGCTTTGAACATTTAAAATGATATGAATTAATGGTTGTGCAGAGTGTTTTGTTTGGTTCTTTATCTCCATCACAGCAATTGCTACCATAGACCTGTTTTGAAAGCTCTCGGTGCCTTTTCGGGGCTCAGTAGCTCAGACAAACGCTTCTCCAGCGGTGACTGTGTCCTTTTTCTGCTCACTCTGACTTCTCTCTTTTGACTAGCTATTGTCTTATCCAGGTTTTGCGTGTTTCATTGAACTGAATTTTGGTTTTGCATACAGAAATGAAAACAATTTATTGTGGTTTTGTTAAAGTATTTTTTCAGTTCTCCCTAATTTGTGAAGTTATCATTTTCCCCATATCATATTTCTCTGGAGGAGAACTTGATGATATTTCAGTGGTGAAAAATATAAATAGCTCTTCATTTTCATTATATGGTTATTTCTGAAGTATGCAAGATTTCTGAAAGCTGATGATAATCTAAGATTTTGATTGTAGTTTTTGTTTTTAAAGGGCACTATGAGGAGGTGTACGATAACCAGCTTAACTTGGCCTACTGTTTCAATGACCCTGAGGACAAATGGTTAAGTAATTACTTTTATGAGCAATGCTTTAACACTGCTCAATTAATAAAAATTGATGGTGGGAGAAGAGAGGCACAAGCACATGCAGATATGGGCCTCATCAGCGAGGAACAAGGTAAGCCACTGAGATCGTAAAGCTACATTGTATTCAGCATGGAGAGTCATATTTGGCAATTTGTGTTTCATCACAGGGCACGGTGTTTTGATGTAAAATTGATTTGCAACCATAATTTAAAAGTAGTTTTAAAACTGTTACCATTTTAATTTTCGGAGCAGTGAGTAGGAAGACAAAGTCCACAATTATTCACAGAGCTGTTTCCTCTGCTGACGTTCCATCTACAATTGAAAGTACTCGATCAGAAGAAAAACAAAACACAAGTTTAAAGGAAGCATTTGCTTAGTGAAAAGATTCTTTGGGTTTGACCTTATTTCATTTTCCTTGTTTTTGACAAGAAACTAGTAATGCTTGGGCCATGGGTGTTTGAGTAGGATGGCATCAGTAATTACACAGACTGGGTTGAGCTGGAAGAGGTATAAACATGTAATTCAGTTTAATCCTACCTCCAATTTATACATGGATGAAACAGCCTATATTTTTGTGTTCTTTATAAAAACTACCTTCTGGTTCTCTTGACTGAAAATGGCACCCTGTTTGTTTGTACGTGACTGCCACTTTGGTGTTTGCTTCAGATTTATACCTTACTACAAGCTACATTTCTCCATTCATGTATCTGTATCCTCAAACTGTGAGTCTCTGAAATTAGAAAAGGTATTAACAGAATCATATAACAGCCCAGGCTGGAAGGGATCTTGAAAGATCACCTGGTCCAACCTTTCATGGGAAAGGAAACCTGGATGAGATTGTTTTAGCACTCCGTCCAATTGCATCTTGAAAACCTCCAGTGATGGGGACTCTATCACATCCCTGGGGAGGCTGTTCCAGCAAATGATTGTTCTCACTGTAAAAAATACTACTTTCTTATATCAAGGTGTACCTTGTTTCTGTATTTAAAAATATACATTACCTTTCATGGCAGAGGGGTTTGAGTGTGTGTAGCAGACTGGGTATAAAAAAGGTGTTTTCCTATGTTGGTATAAAATCCTTTCATGTTGTGGGAAGACAAGCAATAAGTGAGCCTCAAGTAGCTGAATAAAACCTATCTTGTAGCTGTAATTCCTAGATGTACTGGATGCCTGACCATTGCTTCAATGTATGTGATTTGTATAGTCATTCTTTTTTTGGTTTTAAGTTTGACTTTGTGGGTCAAAATCATTGCAACTTTGAGCTCAGCTTGTGGCTGGTTTCTCAAATAGAATGGCTTTTCTCAGAAAAAAGATTCACAGAAATTGAAATATTTTGTTAAAATAGTGTAATTCTAGTAAATGTCTGACAAAATGGGTGTGTTTTGAAAGATGGCCTAATTTCCCAGCAAAAACTTGGACGTAAAACATAAAACCTGCGGCCTTTTGTATTTTTTTAATTGAAAGGTTTTTCCCCGTGTTCTCTTAAAGCTGAAAGATCACACCTTTTTCAATATTTCTTTGTATTTTCTAGACTGCTAGTCATTCACACTGTTTCCTCTGAACTGTTGCCACATCTTTCTTGCCTGCAACACCCAGAGCTGGATTCAGTTTTAAAATCTGAGTTCATACCAATGACCAATAAAATGGAAGGATTACTTTTCTTACAGGTTGTAATTTTATTTTTGTTTTCAGGTATGACATCTACATTCTTTGTTTCAGCGTAAATTGCATACTTGTATTCAGTTCATGATCTTCAGTAATCTTGAAATTATTTTCTGAAGGACTGTTAACTAGTTATTCTGTTCCGCATTCTGGCATCACCAATTAGTTCTGCCTAAATGCAACATGTTACTTTCTTTTTGCACTGAGTAGCATCCTGTGTTTTGTAGGTGATTTCTAGAAATTATCAAGATTGTTTTGAATTCTGAAGTTGTCCTTCAACAAGCTTTCTTTTCTTGCAAATTTTGTATCATTTGAACATTTAAAAAGAATTTTTCTACCCTGTAATTCAGATCCTTAATTAAAATACTTAGTAAACTGGACCTAGGACAAGTGCCTGTGGAATCTCAGAGTACCTTTTCAATGACAGTGAACTACTAATAACCGATGTCTATATAGGATTTTCTAACCAATTTGCACTCACCTGACAAGAGCTGCAGGTGAACTATGCTTCCCTAGTGCTTTACAAGAAAGTTATATGACAGTGAGAAAGAATTTACTAACTTAAACAGAAGATTGGTTTGATAACATTTGCTCTTGATATGTTGGCATTGGCTGTAATATTTTCATGTTTTCTCTAAAAGCTTGGGAATAATCTGTTTAACTGCTTTTTTATTCCAGTATTATTCCTGGAATTGAAGTTCAGGTAAATCCAGTTTCCCAGTAGACAAGATAGCACTTGCTTAAAGCCCAGCTGGTCACAACCAAGCCATTTTCATTTTGAGTGAAAAATGCTTAATTAGATTATCTGTCTGATACTCAGTAGAATGAAATGATTGAAGTTGTTGGATTTTTTGCAACCTTTTCACTTGGTCCTTCAGTTACTAAAAAATAAAATTATAAGAAGGTGCATAAAAGCAAACATCCCTGTCTATTTATAGCTTCAAAGGCTCATACTGAGTGTGACTTACTACTGTTACCAAACTACTGCCTATAAAAAAATTAACATTTCCTACTTTTAACATTTTTCTACTTTTTTTTACTTTTTTTTTAACCCATTACAAAAGCACATAAGCAATGTTACGAAATACACTTTGAGATACTCGGGAAATTTCATTTTCCTGCTGTAAAATATTCTAATATTCTAATATTTTAATTATTATTCTAATAATTCTAACTTCCAGAAGATAGGCTTCTTATTAACATTGGTAAGGAGAGATAAAGCAAGGTGTGTTTTCACTGCCCAGGGTGAAGCTCCACTGAATCTATAGGGTCTGTCTTTTGCAAATATTTTATTTCCATAGAGAGAAGTGAAGAAATGAAGAAGTTGAGAGAGTAAGCATAGGATTTGCTTTGAGAGACCACTGAGAAAAAGACAGCAGATGTATTCCATACACTTTTTAGTTTCAGCGGATGAAGAACTATATCACAAATACTGATTGCAGAAAACATGTAAGAACAGATGTTGAGTTGGAATTGTATAAAACTACATGAGTATTAATGGTGTTATAAGTAAAATTCTAAACATGCTGGTTTTGATATTAGAACACATAGATGCAGCTTGTAAATTAAATGGTCTTTTTGTGTTCAGATGTTTATAAGGCTGTAATCTAATTTGTTTGTGAACTGAATGAGTCGGAAGCCTGCTTCCTATGAGGATATATACATATATATAGGAATACGTACACAAGTGTGTGCATTAATATATGATACAGGAATATGTATGTGTACAGGGATGTGTGTGAGTACGTGAATGATGCTTAACATTTACATCATACATTCATAGAATCATAGAAAGTTTTGGGTTGGGAGGGACCCCTAGAGGTCATCTAGTCCAACATCCCCGCAGCGAGCAGGGACACCACTAACTAGATCAGGTTGCTCAGAGCCCTGTCCAACCTGGTCTTGAATGTTTCCAGGGATGGGGCCTCCACTACCTCTCTGGGCAACCCGTTCCAGTGTTTCACCACCCTCATTGTAAAGAATTTCTTCCTTATACCCAGCCTAAACCTACCCTGTTTTAGTTTAAAACCATTACCCCTCGTCCTGTCACTGTTGCCTCTACTAAAAAGATTGTCCCCATCTTTCCTATAGGCTCCCTTTAAGTACAGAAAGGCTGCAATCAGGTCTCCCCGCAGCCTTCTCTTCTCCAGGCTGAACAAGCCCAACATTCTAAGACTGTCCTCATAGGAGAGGTGCTCCACAGCGCACATTGCCAGCTCATGTCCAGCCTTTCGTCTATCAGTACCCCCAGGTCCCTCTCAGCAGGGCTGCTCTCGATCCTTTCATCCCCCAGCCTGTATTGATACCGGAGATTACCCTGACCCCGGTAAATTCATCTGATTGAAATCATTATCTCTGTATTAACTGCATTGATTAATAGTGCAACCGGGAAGACAGAATTTACAAAAATGAGAAATCAGTCTTACAGACATTAATGTGTGCATCATTTCAGATGTAAATATTTTGTACCAGTTCTTTTCAGTTCTCTTACCCAATAGTTTTTTTTTCATTACTTGTGCACGGAAGCTGTCTATATATCCTTAGGACTGATTGCTTGGGAGTATAAAGTTAAACATGTACTTGTAAAGATTGTTCTTTGCCTTGGAAGCAAATCAATAAATTTGCTGGGTAATTTCTGTGTAATCAAACTTTCAGCCTAGTCCCTGTCCTAAAGGCTGGATATAATCTGAGGTTCATTAATCTTCAAAGCTAAATATTTGAGGTGTCGGCAGTGTCGACTTCAGTCATGATATTTGGATGCAGACGATTAGTGGCTCTCAGTACATAGTGGCTGCCAGTACATAAGGGAAAGAAAACAACAATAGTAGAGTAGCCTGCTACAGACACAAATGGAACATTCTGCTTGGAACGAACATGATTTTAGCTGCAGTTCTTTGCAGAATGAGATTTTAACCTTCTCTTTAAAAAAAAATTCTGTTTGTAAAATAAGGTCTCTGTTTACAAGTAACCCAAATAAGATGCTATGCATTGATTATTGTAGGAGTGCTCAGATTGTGATCCTGTTCAGTTAGCTGTACTCACCCCATAGTTTGCCTTTCCTCAGGGGGCTGATAATAAATTGGTGTATTAGTGTAGTTACTGGTTGTTTTCTCATATAGCTGTTAAGCACACCAGTGTCACTTTATATACGTTGAAAAAGCATTGTAATATTTTAATATTTTTTTCTCACATTAAATCCAGCTCTGCGTGTCATCCAAGGGAGCACAGGCTTTGTGACAGAATCTCAGTTAATAAAAAAATTTTTTAAAAAATATTTTTACTTCTAAAACCACATTCAAAAAACTGGTATAATATCAGTTGTTATAAATATGTGCATTTTTCTGCATATCAGAGAATAAGAGGATTATCATAGTCTGTGATACTTCAATTATATTAGTGTAAACTCTGCTAAAGTTAATTGTGAACTTC